GGCTCCCGCCGCGGCCCCACGCTGGAGACAGACAGGCTCCCGCCGCGGCCCCACGCTCGAGACAGACCAGCTCCCGCTGCGGCCCCACGCTGGAGACAGACCGGCTCCTGCCACGACCCCACGCTGGAGACCGGCTCCCGCCGTGGCCCCACGCTCGAGACAGACCGGCTCCCGCTGCAACCCCACGCTCGAGACAGACCGGCTCCCGCTGCAACCCCACGCTTGAGACAGACCGGCTCCCGCTGCGGCCCCACGCTGGAGACAGACCGGCTCCCGCCGCGACCCCACGCTGGAGACAGACCGGCTCCCGCTGCGACCCCACGCTCGAGACAGACCGGCTCCCGCCGCGGCCCCACGCTCGAGACAGACCGGCTCCTGCCACGACCCCACGCTGGAGACCGGCTCCCGCCGCGACCCCACGCTCAAGACCGGCTCCCGCCCCTCTGGGTCTATCGATGGACGTGAACTCTGTGGAGCTCAGCACCACCCCTGGCCCCACGCTGCCCCGGCCGGGGCCTCCGGAGCCCGACGGTGCCACACAGCCCTGTCCGACGGCCTCAGGGCAGGGACGGCCCACTGCGGATGCTCAGGACCAGCGTGCCCCGAGCTCCCCGCCTTGACCTTGACCATCGACCGCCCCCCGGGCCTCACCTTCCTCTCCTGTGGCCAAACTCCCACCCAGCCCTAAGGGTTCTCCGGGATTTCCTCTTATCCGACGAGGCTCAGGCTGCAGACTCCGCTCCCCTGCTTTGTAGGGAGACGCGGCTACGCGTGGGCTTCTGTCCCATCTCCCATGCTCTTCACGTGTGTCTCCTCTCACCCTCCGGACTTGTCTTCCTCCCAAAGGAAAGAGCCTGGAAAAGCCCCCGGCCCCCAGCGTGATCCGCCCAGCCTGGAGCAGTCTTTTCCCAGTGGCTCATCACCCCCCGGCCGCCACTTCTCAGCGGCCACAGCCACAGAGGGCCAGTGAGGTTCCCGCCAGATGGTTCCAGAAGGAGAGCAAAACCAGGCCACACTACAGGAGCAAGTGTTGCTGGAACTGGGCCGCTCTGGGCATGGTAGCATACGCTTAGAGCCTCAGCCTCGGGAGGCTAAGGCAGGAGGATCTCGAGTCAGAGGCCAGCCTAGCCACAAGGAAGGACGGAAGGAAGGATGGAAGGAAGGAAGGGAGGGAAGGAGGGAGGGAGGGAGGGAGGACGGAAGGACAGAAGGAAGGAAGGAGTGAGCCAAGCAACTCACATCACAATAAAAGTGTGACAGAAGCCGGGCACCGTGGCTCACGCCTGTCATCCCAGCCACTCAGGAGGCTGAGATCTGAAGATCTCGGTTCAAAGCCAGACCTGGCATGACTAGAAAACCAGAAATGGCGCTGTGGCTCAAGCGGTAGAGCGTTCGCCTTGAGCTGAAGAGCTGAGGGACAGCACCCAGAAGAATTCTTCAAACTCGACTTGTTTTAGGTTCAAGGGAAAAGCAGTCAGGACAGAAATGACCTCTGAGCCACCATGCTGCGACGTAATCTGTAAAACACGGTTGTTTCTGGAAGGCGAGGCTGCAGGGCTGCGTGTGGTGTAGACACGCCAGCTGCGGCGCCGTGGTGGACGGCCTTACTCCCGCCAGGGCTGCTGGAGGGAACGGACCACGTCTCCTCGTGGCCCGGCAGCCCGCCCTCGGGCCCCATCCTACCGCGGGGCCCCTCCGCGCCGGATGCTTGCGCTGCGCGCTTGCTGCTTCACGCACGGCCGGGCATGTGCGGGGAAGGGCGGCAGTTCACGCAGACTGCAGCCTCCTCCCGAGGCCTTGGGGGTCGCGCTGGCGCGGGGAAGGCGGGGCGGGGGGGGAGCCGGTCCCATCCATAGCAAGTTCTAGAAGCGCTGGGAAGCCCTCACGGCTCCCCAGAGGGCCGAGAAAGGCCACAGTGCGTGCCCCCCCCCGTGGAACAATCTGACCATGTGTACCTCCTCCCGCATTGTCCCGGCCCCCCGCGGCGGCAGACCGCACCCCAGCTCAGCAGACCGGCCCACGGGGCGCCGGCACGGCCCCCACGGCCTGTGACCCTCTAACACTCTTCCCCTCCCTTCTCTCTCTCTCCACGCCTCGGCCTCTCGCAGTGAGCATGCCCACCAGCGAGACCGAGTCCGTCAACACGGAAAACGTGGCCGGAGGAGACATGGAGGACGAGAACTGCGGGGCCAGGCTGGCGTGAGTAGGCAGGGTGGGGCTGGCCCACGCGGGGGAGGGAGGTGTGGGGGGGAACGCGGGGAGGGCGGACA